TTTATTTATTTATTTATTTATTTATTTATTTATTTATTTATATTTATTTTTGGTCTTTTTGAAACAGGTTCTCTCTGTAGCCCCAGCTGTCCTGGAACTCACTATGTAGACCAGGCTGGTCTTGAACTCACAGAGACCTGCCTGTCTCTGCAGGCGTGCACCACCACGCCCAGCTAATTGTTATTCATTGTTTTCTTAAAGGGATGAGCTGATACTGGTACTTTCTCAGTCTTATTTTAAAAAAATGTTTTATTTATCATGTTTATGTGTATGAGTATATTGCCTGCATGTATTTAAGTACACCCATGTTGTACAATGCCTGAGGAGGTCAGAAGAGGGCATTGTATTCCCCTGGACCCAGAATTAAAGATGCTTGTTGGCCACTCTGTGGTTGCTGGGAATCAAACACAGGTCTTCTGCAAGAGTGGCCAGTGTTCTTGACCACTGAGCCATCTTTCCATCTCCCCTTGCCCAGTCTTCTTATTGATACTTAAAGAATAAATGGTCCAGAAGAGATTTTCCTTTTCACCTAGGCATTCATTTTAGTCATTAGATAGAGTTAAGAATAAATTAACCTGAAGAGATTGCTTCAGATACTGAAAATACTGACATTATTGATAAAGAATTAAAAGTTAAAAAATACTTATTACCATATTTCCTAACACACATTCAGACTACAGCTGTATCACCTGCCCTAAATTTATTGTATTAACCTTCCCAGAGAGCAGAGAATGCATTCCTGACTCTGCTAGGAAATCTGCTGTTTTGTTTTCATGTTAGGACACACTCAAATTTCATTATACAGTCTTATGTTTCTTAGACCATCCCCTTATTCTATTTTTAATGGATTTTTGTTTTATTTTTGGTGTGGCATAATATATTATCCACACTTTTTTCTACTATTAAAGATTTGCAGTTACTTATCTGCAATTCCAAATTCCAGAAGCAGAGTTATTAAAATGATAAAACCCAAGCAGACACAGACACACTCAGAGATGAAATCTGTACACGCTGACTTTGGGGTTATTTGCATTCTTTATTTAACTGGCTTCATGTGAACATCCATATGTTTTATTAAAGTAATAATAATGATGTATGCACAGTATGCCCTATCTAAAATCTGAGAAGAAAAACCCGGAATCTAAAACAAATCAGGTACCAAGGTTTTAGATAAGGGATATTGTACTTATTTAATCAATTACTGGTTTTTGCTTGTCTGAACAGGTTAATACCTTAAAGTATATTACTATATGCCTCACATTGGCTGCTTCAAGAGCTGGACTGGGTTTATAATGTGCAATACTCAAGAAAACTAGAAATAATTTCCAGATTTATAAAATTCCCCCATGTAATAAACACTGTGCTCCAAAGAGAGCAGCTCTGATACTTAAGAATGTGTGGATTTTTTTAATAACAGAAAACAATCACCATGTATTATGTTTTCAATTAACAAAATGTATTTCATATTCATCTGGTGTGAAAATAAACATCATGTGACAGCATTTGAAGCCTGCATCGAGACCACTGAGGACCTTCCGTTCTATTACAACATTTGAAAAGGTGCTCTTATTCAAAGAAATTCATTCACAAGAATAAACACGGGGACGGACACAATTAAGGACACATAAAACTACACAAGGTATTTAGTATGTTAACAGAATTCTTTCCTTCCACAACCCCCACCTTATCCCTGACACCAAACCTATCTCTCTTAGGCTTCTACCTCTCAGTAAGTACCACAGCACATGCATACCAACTGCTTGGGACCAAACCCCAGTCAGTAAAGGCATCCTTCACACCCACATTCCACCCATCCACTTATCCTGTCAACTCATCGCTCTTCAGAAAGTCTTGTCAGAAGCTCTTCAATGGACAAGCAGAATCTGACAGTCTTTCAGCACCTCCATTATTATCACCATTGCTTGGCAACCAACCCTTTCTTAGAGCATTGCATCAGCTCACATGCTGACTTTGCTTCTGCCTCAAATGATAGAATCTGTAATTATTTAATTCTTTCTATAAATTGCCACATACCACATGAGTGGAGTTGTTCTCAATAGGATTTGCTTAGATTAATAAAAAAAAGAAGAAGCAACATTGGTCATATGCTCTGCTTATCTCTGGCTTCACTGTTGAATTATATTTCTAGCTGCCCTCTAAAAGATCAAGTATCTCCATTTTTGTAGTAGCTGTTAGTCCCTCTAAAGTTCTTCCCAAGATAACTTAGAAAGCATACATAACTTCCTCAATTCAGTTCTCAGATAAACTATCTCTCCCTCACGTAATTCTTCTAGACATTCCTGACACACACAGACACACATAGACACACACACATGCACAGAGAGATACACACACAGAGACACAGACTCAACATATACAGACACACACACACACACACACACACACACACACACACACACACACCCCTAGTCCCTTATCTTGTTTTACACTTTCTTATGTCAATCATTATTCCCATGCCCAAGCATGGTGTTTTTGTTTGT